GCAAAAACTTTCTGCCATCGGGACCAATCGGAATAGACTGGTCATCTCTTGGTGTCTCAACAAATTTCAATCGTCCTTTATCAATGCCTGATTTAACTATTTGACGAAACATATTGCAATCCTCAAAATTATGTTTGAATGAATGATGCAACCTACAATACATTCGTCCTTGAATTGATGGCTTGACATGGTGATCAAAAATTCTTATGTAATTATTTTTCAGCAACAAATCAAATATTTGATCACACATGCTTGAATTGAAGGCAAACTTTTTATTTTCTAGCCGATCTTGCTGTGAGAACGGCTTTGGAGTTAAGCAAACGAATGATTCAGATTTTGTATCTCCCCATTCGGCTATGAATTTTATTTTGCGTTCTCTTACCGATATCATTGGATAAGAAACTATACTTGCATCGGTTTGCTCAAAAGATTTTAACCTTGGCTTTAAATTTCTGAAACGAAAATAGTTAGAACATACATGTCTCAATTGAGACCAAGTGTAAGCCAAGTAAGAAATAAGCAAAGCTACCCAACTAGATATGAACTTTAGATAAAGCAATGGGGAAAGCCTTGGCTGCAATAATTTTTCGCTATCGGTCTTTCTGAATGGTGTAATGTGTTGACCGATATGCTTCATAACAAGTTTATTGCTAACAGGTAAATTACCCTTCTTCATTGGTCTTTCAAAATTGCTTATGAGAATATTTCTTATAGATGCATCAATAATGAAGTCGCGACCAAATCTGAAAATAGGTAAATTACTCTCTATGCATACCTCTTCAAATATGTTGGGAGAATATGATGGTGGTGCCACTTGAAGAACATCTTGCTCCGTCTTTGGATGGCTTCCCAACACCTTTTCATCATCTTTTTCTTGATTCCGTGCATCATTGCTTTGAAGATCCATGTCAGCCAAACTTTGTTCGGCTACTTGTTCTTGTCCTTGAGGCTTGTCAATTTCTATGGCACGAAACTCATAGGGCAAGAAGTAGGTTCCATTGACTTCGGAAAAATCAAGTATGGCTGTTTTGCTATGCTTTCCCTGCCCTTTCACAATAATGCTTGCCTCTTTGGATTTGATGAACTCAGAATATATACTACTTGATTCGACTTTTCTAATAATCGAATTTTCTTTGTTACCTGAATCAACAACTTAATCTTTTTGAATTTGCGAGGCTTCTCGCTCTCGTCTAATTTTAGCCCACATCTCAGCTTGGCGAGCTTTAAACTTCTTCATCTCAATTTCCATCCACTCGTCATGAAATTGCCCCCCAATACTTTGAGATTCTTTCGGCAATGAGGTGCCGAAACTTTGCGATTGTTTAGGTGGTACACTAGATGGTACAACACTGGGCAACTGCATCAGTTGCACAACTCTAGCTTTTACAGCAGCAAAATCATGAGGCTTCCCGCCTTCTATTAGTTCCTGGTGAATAGAGTTGCACAAATCCCAAGAGAATGTAAGCTTGTTCTCAATTACCCAGTCCGGATATGGTTGCCCCCCAATGGTTTTAGACTCTTTCGGCAATGAGATGTTGCCGAAATTCTATAATTGTGTAGGGGGGACATGATATGCCACGGTAGTAGGTGAAGGCATTTGTGCTCCTGCAGAAGTTTCACTTATTCGGCCATGACCATTAAGGTGCGGAGCCGAATTATGGACATCAACAGTTGCGTATGGTGCCAAAAAACTAGTAGCATGAGGTGTAGCATATGATGTTTGAGGGTAATTGGCAGAATAACTAGTAGTAGCATGGCCAATTCCCCTATCCACCAGCATGTTTGGATTAACATGTTGCAAATTAGTTGCCGATGAATAAAAAGATGAAACACAATGTTGCATGCCATTGAAAGATCCTACATGGGGTGTTTCAACTTGATTAACCGAACTCATCATGTTGTTCATCGGCATATGGATTTGTGGGGTTGCCGATGCATGGGAGTTGGGATACATATGTTGCATGTTGCTAAAATTATATGAAGTAGAATCATGGAGATTTTGTTGCATCGACCCTTGCACATAGTTAGATGCATGATTGACAAAGCTAGGGCTAGCCGATACATTATGCTCATTAGATGATCTAGCAACAACATATGCATTATTTGCATCTACATATGTGAATTGGGTATTCATATTACCTTTGTAGATTGCAAACTCTAGATGACGATCTCTTCGTAGAAAGAACGGGCCGGAGACCGTTCAAAGCTTCGTCCCCAGCGGAGTTGCCAAAAAGTGTGTTCGCACACGAACACATCACCGTGTACCTCCAACACCGAGGGTGATGCACCGCAGCTCACGTTGAAGGAGACCCGACCGGAAGCGCGGTACGCAGGCAATCCGACGGGTGCTTTTGAAGACCCGAAACCCCACACGCCCGGGAGGGACCCCGTCAGGGCGCGTGGCGGCTATGGGCTGCCCTAGGTCGACCTGAACGCCCCAAGGGCCTCGAGTTTTGCCGCCGTGCAATGAAGAAGAACAACGAAGAACGAGGAAGAAGAAGAACTAGGGTTAAGGAGAAAAGATAAAAGATAAAAGTGATAGATGAATTGATCGACTGTGTGTTGTTCAATCGGCCGTCACCCCTTAGATATATAAGAGGCGGCTGGACTTCCCGTGCAAGGAAAAGGCTTGAATTCACGTCCAAAACCCTAGTCAAATTCGGATTGGTTTTGTCCGAACTTTCCAAAACTGTTCGGGTTAAACTGGCTGCACCTTGCGGGTCTTTTTGTGGTGGTAAACGACCTGGGATAGAAACGATCCCAAAAGCAATCTTGACCGTTTCGACGAGACGAACAACTTTCGTGTTGAACGTTTTTGATCAGAGGCCATCTTGAGGGCGTTTTAGGCTTTTTTCCGAAGTCTGCGGCAGAAAAATCCAAAACCCGAACAAACAACCCCGGATTGTCCGGCCGTCCTCGGAGAAATCCAAAACCCGGATGATCATTCCCGGAGTGTGTGGCCATCCTGATGCAGCTGCACATTTTTGGCTCTAACTTTTGCATATGAACTCGGATTGGAACGATTTTTATAACAAAATCGACCGTTTCGACGAGACGAAGACAATTCGTGTAAATCATTTTTTTATTTGAGGTCTTCTTGAGAGCCTAATTGGCCAAACTGTACTCTGGACATAAGATCTTAGTACTTTGAGCATAGTTTTGGCCTTCGAGATGAAACCGGGCGATGATGACCCAAACTTCAAAGATGTCCATATCAACAATACGGAACTCTTTCATGTAGAACACTTCTCTATTTAAAGCCATCTTAAATAAGTTCTTGACCGTGCCAATCTGGTGTCAACAGATGGTTGATGATGACGATGGCGATGAATCCCCCTCTCCGGAGTCCCGAACGGACTCCAGATCAGCCCTCCCGAGAGAGATTAGGGCTTGGCGGTGGCTCCGTATCGTAAAACGCGATGAAACTTTCTCTCTAATATTTTTCTTCGCGAAAGCAAATATATGAAGTTGGAGTTGATGTGGGTGGATGTCCAGGGGGCCCATGAGCAGGGGGCGCGCCCAGGGGAGGGGGCGCGCCCCCACCCTAGTGGACAGGGTGTGGGGCCCCTGACGCTATTTCTTTCGCCAGTATTTTTTATTAATTTTGAAAAGTTGCTCTATGGATTTTCAGGTCACTTCGAGAACTTTTATTTCTGCACAAAAATAACACCATGACAGTTCTGCTGAAAACAACGTCAGTCCGGGTTAGTTCCATTCAAATCATGCAAGTTAGAGTTCAAAACAAGGGCAAAAGTGTTTGGAAAAGTAGATACGACGGAGACGTATCAAAGGCCATATCCTCATCCAACCTGAAGCTGTTATGCAAAGGAAGTTGATCCCCAAAGTTCAAGGAGACATAAGCATACCAGTAGTTCAGTGGCTGGTCAAATGGACCAATCTTGCAGCAGACAAGGCTACTTGGGAAGACGCTGCTTTTATCCAAAAAGTTTTTCCAGGGTTCCAGCCTTGAGGACAAGTCTGTTCTCGACCGGGTGGAATTGTCAGGACAGAAATCCCAGCGACAACAGTGAGAAACGTAACAATACCGTTTCATTTTCCCTCAAGCATAACAACCGTCGATCTGCGATCCTACGGTGCCAGCAAGCATACCGGTTCACATTCAAGTCACTTGCTATCAACCGCCAATCTCAAGTTGAACGACTCTGGTGGTTTTTACCTCTTTTAAACTTTACTGTAGCTCTGTAATAGCTGAACCTGTCACTTTCTTGCTTTTCACCTGCTCGAACCCTTTTTAAATCCTCCTCCGGCTTGTGGAGAGGGCGTTCTGGATGTATCTGGACTTGGCCCCTAAAGCCGCCGTGTTCCGGCTGGCGAACCCTAGCTCTGTGGCTCAGATCCACCATCAATCAATCCCCAAATTTCCACCCAATTGAGTGAATTTCTGCTGTGTTTCTGAATCTAGTCGACACTTCTTAGTTAGACCCTGTCACACGGCAGATCAGAGGAACCTTTGAAAGAAAGAATCGATGTAATACGAGCTACTTGAGGGGCCGTTTCATAAACCTTCACTTCTCTCTCCGGGACTCCCTGCGCCGGGTGTGTCCAGTTTATCAGGGTTTCTTTTGGAAATGTGCAGCGATACACAATTTTACTCTTCCGCCGGTGTCGGAGGCACGTTGCCGACGAGCCAACGCTGACCGCTGACGCACCTCCCACCTCGGCGACGCCGCCACCGCCCCAGCCTCCTATCCAGCAACGGCCCCGCGCTCTCCGCCCCCGCCAGCCGCGCAGACGACCACCAGCCCATCACTAGTCCAATTCGAGAAGGACTCCGAGCACAACACCGGCACACCGCAACCCGCGGGACTCCGGATCGGCAACGGAATCTCGATCGATCGATCGATTCGTTCGGCCGCTGAACTCAACACGCCTCCTCCATCCAGAAACCTCGCCCGCCGCATCTCCGTCTCCAAATAGAGCCAGGGAGGGGGGATTCTTGCCCGCCTTGTTGGTCGTTGCTTACCACGCTCGTCTTCGCAATGGGGGGCTCCTCGGCGTGCGACGGGACTCTGTCACTCGACGAGTTCAACGCCTCAGCGAAGGCCCTGGTCACCAAGTGGAGGGGGATCGACGTCGACGACGCTCTTCCCGACTGGGAGTGGAGGCCTTGCCGCAAGATGGGGGTGCCATCTGAGGTCATATATATGCTCAATTGACTTGACTTCCTCATCCCTGTGCCATCTCTGTTGTTATTTTTCCTGTCACTGTGCAAGATTTAGGACTGCGAATTTGCGATAACCCATGGGTTGGCTTGTTTTCTGCAGACGGAGGGGTTCGTAGCCCTGGAAGGAGTGTACCGCATTGGCGCAGGAGGCCAGGTGGGCGGGCAGTTTCTTTCTTGGCTATCTGATATGAGTAATATGAAGTTGCGCGTTTTAGTAATTTATTTACTGAATGTTTCCTGCTGGAACAGGTTGAGGGGAGCAGTGACGACCCTGTCCCTGATGATGGTGTAGAGTATGATACCTCGGTAAGTTTTCAGTGGGTATTACTACTCCAGTATCATATGTTCCTGTTACCAGCATGCTGCTATGTTACATCTGCACCCAAGCCGTTTCATATGTTCAGACTATTTATCCTATATAAAAAACACAACGGTTCCACCAAATAGCTGTGTATGTCCGCAATTTGAATCGATCATGCCCTAGAGACTCAGCGACTTGCATCGCAAATCTATTATGAGCACACATGAAAGAGAAACGTAAATATCTTGGAGCAACCGATAGTGATGCATGATGCCGAGTTCCAAATTTAGTTCTATCATTTGTGCCTGTGATTTTGGGGTGGTAATGCATGGAATAGAAAGGATCACCTTGGCGTCACATCGTACACTAGCTACCAGTACTAGTTCTCAGTTTTTTCAACAAGGACTGAGATAACTGCGATCCTTCTTTCGCGATAAACTTTCAATTTCTTATAAAAGAAAAAACCTTGAGTTCCTAATTTTAAGAGTGAAGTGAACTGTAGGTCCTTAAACTATTTCAGGGATGTCACATAGGTCCTCAAACTATGAAAATCGTCATTTAGGTCCTCGAAGTATAGTAAGTGTGTCATTCAGGTCCAAAATCTCACTAACCCCCTCTAAATGGCCAGCTGGCATGGTGAACAGTACGAAAAATAAAAAAATATGAACAAAAATCTGAAAATCTTTGGCATCGAAGATACCCCTCGTGCGTGAATAGTAAAAATGTTTGCGAACCACAAAAATTCGTGACTTTTAAAGATGTTAGTGAACTTTATATTAAAGTCGCAAATAGTTTTTCCAAATTCATCGTTCGCGAACATTTTATTAAAGTCACGAATATTTTTTCCAAATTTATCGTTCACGAACATTTTTTTAAAGTCATGAATATTGTTTCCAAATTCATCGGTCGCGAATTTTTTTTAAACTCACGAATAATTTTTAAAGTCGTGAATATTTTTCCCAAATTCATCGTTCGCGAACATTTCTTTAAAGTCGTGAATAATTTTTTCCAAATTCATCGTTCACGAACTTTTTTTAAAGTCGCGAATATTTTTCCAAATTCATCGTTCGCGAACATTTTATTAAAGTCACAAATATTTTTCCAAATTCTTCGTTCGCGACTTTTTTTGAATTAATGATATTTTTACTGTTCATGCGCCAGGATCTCTTCGATGACATAGGATCTCAGTTTTTGGATATTTTTTTATATTTATTCTTTGTCGTGTACTGTTCATCACGCACAGGAATTCAGGACTGTTTGCCGCGCACTGTTACGGTTACTGTTTACGTGCCAGCTGGCCAGTTAGAGCCTGTCAGGAAGATTTTTGACCTGAATGACACAGTTACGGCACTTTGAGGACCTAGATGACGATTTTCATAGTTCGAGGACCTACGTGACATCCCTGGAATAGTTCAAGGACCTACAGTGCACTTCACTCTAATTTTAATATACGCCAGTCATGATTTCTTTCTCTTTGCAGGTTCAGAGCTCTAGGGATAATGTTCATCTTTATGATTTCCATATTGTCTACAGCTTTTCTTACAAAGTTCCGGTGCTATACTTTCAAGGTCTTCAGTCTGGTATGCACATCTCAGAACATTACCGAATATTTACTTCCTCTGTTCTCCTTTTTGATAGCCAACGTCTGCAACTTGTCCTTAGGTGGGCAGCTACTAACTTTAGATGAGATAAAAAAGGATCTTCCTTCTCATTCGCTTCAGCTGTTAAATGAATCAAAGTGGACATTTATTACTCGAGAGGTATGGACTGTTTGTAATCTATTCTTGATAATGATATGTAATACACATACATGCTTTCTTGTTTACTAATTCGGTTCTTGCACTCCTACAGGAGCATCCCCACCTAAGTAGGCCATGGTTCACCCTGCATCCATGTGGAACCAGTGACTGGATGAAGTTGCTTCTTCATAAACTGGGAGATAAGGATCGATCTCTGCAATACTTGTCAGCATGGTTATCTGTGGCCGGTCAGGCAGTAGGATTGAAAATCCCACTTAAGCTTTATTGCAGTTCATAGGTTCACTCTTCTCCAGTATGTAGTATGTACTATTTTGGTGAGTAAAATGGGAAGTGTCCACCTCTTATTTTGCTTTGTATATGTTCAAACATTCTCTTGGTAATTTGACCATTTTGCAGTGCAATAACTAATTTTATTGCATATGCACGAATGGCGCAGTTGCACATACTGCAGCATAGTTGCAGCTTTAACATGATGATTTGTCCTTGGGCATGTAATTGATTATTATTCTTACATCCTTTCGTTTCCCAGATTTGTTTAAAGCTACTTGCTTGAAAGAATCATGCAGGCTGAATATCATCAGAATTTAGTGAAAATGAAAATATGACGGGCTGCTGATGGAAGTTACCAGTCAGTCAATGCTCGGCTCAGTTATAAAATTTGAAGTGAAAAAAATAGGAACATAGTTGAAACAACAACTCTCAAAGTTAAAACAGACTGTAAATATTGCATTCTTGGTTGGGAATAAAGAGTTAAGCTGTGGGGTGCTTTACCCTACAGTAACAGGTAAAAAAAGAAGTTGAAACAACAACTCTCAATTGTTGCGCCGTATTGAGGTTATTTACTGTGGCATAGGTGCTGCAGAATGGTATTTTATCAACCCATTCAAAACCTTGGAGTTTCCAAGGCTTGGATGAAACCCATTTGAATCGTTGGAGTTCTCAGGGCTTGGATGGCTCATCTGAACTAGAAGCATCAGGCTACCTTAATTCATGGAGAAATGCTTCCCATTCCCAGCAACTCAGTCATCAGTCTTAACCTCACTGCAAATAAGGTCTACTTATGCTCCATTATGATATCCTTTTGTTCTACATAGACGATGGAGTGTTCTCGTTGCCAGAAAGATAGAAAAGGCTAAGAAGTAGGTCAACCTGAAATTATGTGGATATGACAATATTTAGCATCTGAGAATGTATTTGATGAGTCCATCTTGACAGTTCTACTCTTTCGCTCATGTTAGCATATTTCTTCATACGGGCCTGAGCAGCAGCTAAATTCACCTTCAGGTGTTGCCACATGGTGTTTCTGTTCTCGAGGAAACCTGTGGCCTCGCTGTCCGTTGGAGCAGAAAAGAACTTGAGGGGAATATCCGGAGGTGGGAAGCCATACATTGCTTCAAAGGGTGTCTTCCGGAGAGAGGAGTGGAATGAGGTATTGTACCAGTATTCTCCCATGGAGACGTGTAGTGCCCACTCTCCCATGGAGACGTGTAGTGCCCACTTCTTAGGTTCAGCAGAAGAAAGGCATCTCAAATAGCTTTCAATGCATTGGTTTACACACTCATTTTGCCAGTCAGATTGTGGGTGGTAAGATGAACTGTATCGTAATTTAGTGCCCATACCAGCAAATATATCTTGCCAGATTTTGCTAGTGAAGATCTTATCTCTGTCAGAAACTATGGCGAGAGGAGGACCATGCAGTTTCAGACATTGTCAATGAATGCCCCGGCTACTGTTTGAATAGTATAGGGATGGGCCAAAGGAATGAAATGAGCAAACTTGGATAGTCTGTCCACAACTACCAAAATGAGCTCATTGCCATCTGATTTTGGTAAACCCTCTACAAAGTCCATGCTGATGTGTGTCCAGACAATATCAGGAATGTGTAGTGGATCAAGAAAACCAGGGCAAGGGCAGTGTTCACCTTTGTTCTTTTGGCAGACAGGCAGAGCAGACCTGGCCAATAGAACACATTTTTAAGCCTCTGATAAGAAGCTTTCTGGCCAGAGTGACCTCCAATAGCAGATGAGTGGAGGGCCTGCAGAAGTCTGTTCCTTAAAGATGAATCCTTCCCTACATATATTTTTCCTTTGTGTCTGATCACTCCATCTTGCAGATGTTTGATGAACTGTGTGAGTAGGGGACAAAATCAGTTGTTCCAGGAGCTTTTGGCAATGGGGGTCTGTACTGTGGTAATTTTCCACTTCAGATATCCATTCTGGAGTTGCCATTGAGATGGCCATACATGTATGTTTCCTGGACATGGCGTCAACAACAATGTTCTCTTTGCCTTTCTTATATTCCGGGACAAAATTGAATTCCAGCAGCTTGAGCATAAATTTGTGCTGAATGCTAGTAGCCACTCTATGATCAGTCATAGACTGTAAGATTTGATGATCAATTTTGATAATGAGATAATTTCCCAAAAATAATGTCTCCATCTCTTAAGTGCTTCTATAATAGCTAATGCTTCTTTTTCATATGTGGATAGAGCAACATTTTTAGGGCAGAGAGTAGAGCTGTAGTAGGCTATTGGTTTGCCATTCTGCATCATTACTGCACCTAATCCAGTCCCTGATGCATCTATTTCCAATACAAAAGGAGAAGCAAAGTCTGGAAGGGCCAGAACAGGAGCATATATCAGAGCTTGTTTGTGAGCTTGGAAAGCCTCTGTTTGAGCATTTGTCCATGTGAACTTGTCATTTTTCAATGCATCATGCAAGGGTCTAGCAATAGCACCAAAACTGTGGACAAATCTTCTGTAGTAACCACATAGTCCGAGAAAACTCGTGAGATGAGCGGGAGTAGTAGGGACTGGCCAATTCTCTACTGCATCAATTTTAGAGTGATTTGTTGACATCCTTCCCCAGAAATGGTGTGCCCCAAGTAAGAGATGTGGTCCACAACAAAGACACATTTGGATATGTTGTCATGTAGTGCGTGTTGCTTAAGCAGTTCCATAACTATCCCTAAGTGCTCCTTGTGTTCTTCTTGGGTTTTACTAAAGATGAGAATGTCATCAAAGAAGACCAAGATGAATTTTCTGAGGTAAGGGCCAAAGATGTTGTTCATCAGTGCTTGAAAGGTGCCAGGGGCATTTGTGAGCCCAAATGGCATAACAAGGAACTCATAATGCCCAAAATAGGTCCTGAATACAGTTTTGGGTATGTCTTGTTCACTCATTCTCACTTGGTGGTACCCAGATATTAGGTCCAGTTTGGAAAAGATTTTTGCACCGTACAATTCATCCAAGAGGTCCTCAATTACATGTATAGGAAATCTATTTTTGATTGTTGCTGCATTTAACATTCTGTAATTGATGCAAAGCCTCCAAGTCCCATCTTTCTTCATTACTAGTATTGCTGGTGATGAATAAGGCCTCTGACGTTCTCTAATGATTTTAGACTGCAGTAGTTTGTGCACTTGTTTTTCCATCTCATTTCTCTGCATGTGAGGCACTCGATAAGGCCTGATGTTAGGTGGTTTGGACTTTGGTTTGAGAGGTATCTCATGTCCAAATCTCTGGGAGGTGGCAATCCCCCAGGTTCTTTGAAAACTTCAGGAAAAGAGTGTAATATCTCCTCAATTTCAGTGGGGTAGGATGTGCTTTGCTGCTCTGGATTGTTGTGTCCTCTGCTAGTTGGAGGGCAAACCCAGGAGCTCCACTCAGTAGTAATCTATTCAACTCCAGTTCATCTATTTCATTTGTAGCAGATAGAGTCTCACAAGCAGGTTTTGTGATAGAGTTATGGCCCTGATGATTGATGATGAATTGTTTAGGATCGTAACAAAATGCCACATGACTGTGTTTGGCCATCCAATCTGATCCTAACACAATATCATGCCCAGGTAAGTCCAACACTCTGAACTGTTGCTCGAATTGATAAGAGCCAATACTAAAGGTGGTCTCAGGAATGTAAGACCCAGACCAAAGTTTTCCTCCACCAGCAACTATCACAGCTCTACTTTTGTCTTTCAAAATGGTGCAGGAGGTTTGAAGAGCAAACTGGAGGCTCATGAAGGTGGAATTGCTACCAGAATCAACTAAAGCAATTGCTTGTTTTCCCCCAATGTGCACCAGAATGGATATAGTGTTGACACTGTCAGCCTGCATTGCTTGCAGTGAGATTTTCATGCACTGCTCCTCTCCATTGTTCTGAACTTCCTGATCAGTCTCCTCAATTTCTTCTTGTTCCATGATGTTTTCTTTTGGCGGCTCTCTAGTGAGCAAGTGAATAACAGGGGCCTACTTGCATTTGTGACCATGCATCCAATCATCCCCACATCTCCAGCATTTACCTGGCTCCCTAGGCCTTTGAGTAATTGTGGGTGCTTTAAAGTCGGTTTGTCCTGACTAATCACAGGTTGCTTGGAGTAGGCCGTTGACGATTTTGAAAATGTTGTATACTGTTGAAACTGCTTTTTCAAGGGCGCTCCTTGTTCCAGATTAATGGCCAACCAGTAAGCATTAGTTAATGTGACAGGCCTCAGTGGTCTTAACTGAAATTTGAGTTGTGATCTTAATCCATTGACATAACATCTCACAAACCAGCTCTCAGCAAGTGCTAGGTTGTCTTGCTGAACCTCTGTGTCGGAGTAAATGACCACGGGTAGCCTTACTGCCCCCCATGACGTTTCAAGACATTGGGGCCGGCTGCGCCCCTCAAGCATCTAAGACAAAGGGCCGCCTTCTTGTGGCCGACTGGTCCAAGTGGCCGGCTGCAGGAAGGCAGCAAGGCCCAAAGAGCGGCCCCAGAGTGGGCCGACTCCTAGCAGGCGGCCACCAGAGTGGCCGAATCCTAGCAGGCGGCCCACCCTTGCACCCTCAAAGTTTGCACCCACATAACAGTGACGAGACGGGGCGTGGCTACAGTGCAGCCTGCCACCCCCGAATCCTGGAGCGGGAGTGGCCACAGTGCAATGTATCAGGCGGCCATCCCTAGACCGGCACGGCACTGTTGCCACGTTGATTATGACATCATCCATGGCAGAGCTGCCATGCTCCCACGACGGCTGTCGGTACGGCCCGCAGGCGGCGGGCCCTACTGCCAGTGAGATACCAAAAGGTGGCATGCCCAGACCAGTCGGCACAGGGGAGGCCGGCTCCCAACAGCCAGCCCTCCCCTTCCCTAGAAGTTTATGCGCCATTAACCAGATAAGACGGGGTGTGCCTACAATGAACGCCCACCAGGCGGCGGTACTGTAGCCACGCTCTCCCCGAACAAGCCATCGTCATCAGGGACAAGGCTATAGTAATGAGCAGCCGACAGGGCCCATAGG